TATTATGAACTCACAACGTGACCAGCTCTCAGTTGGCCTGATAGCTCAGTTGGTAGAGCACTGCACCGGTATCCCAGAGGTCATGGGTTTCAATCCCGTTCAGGCCTGAATTTTTTTCAGGCTTCAATTTTACAACTGCTTAAGTTGTGTATAACTGCGATGATCAATCATGTCTTCATATCTTTCTCTGCAGTTCAAATGTATGATCTTTCATATATTCACTTGCAATACCAAGTATATATCAAAGGCAACAGGTTGATGTCAAATCTTCCATTTAGTATGTTAAACTTGCCACTAATTTCTGATTGATTGTAAAAACAAATCAAGTGATCATTTGTTATATTTCTGCTTCATTTTGTTCTAAAACCTTCTACCATTCCCCCAATTGTTTTCCACAAAATCATGCTCACCTGCCGATGATGAGAAACTAAGAACAACCAATTCCTCTGCCAGGTTCTCTGGAAAATCTATGACCTTTTTGCTCCTTTGATGAACTTTGTTTTCCTGGCCATCAACACCCGCAGATAAACTCTTGGTCTTGTCAGATTTGCCCCTTCTCAGATCAGGGTTTCCTGCCATATCAGACTGATTTCTCTCACCTCTAGATGTACTTGTCCTCATATCAGAAGACTCTTCAAAGTCCTGACTATAGGTAACAGGGCTTTCAACATCACGTCTTCTCTTATCTGGTGTGCTAGACAGCTGAGGAAGTCTTTCCAGTGCTGCAGCATCATGAAGGTTCAAACTGTCATTTGCACCTTCTAACTCTTCCTCAATTTCATTGTCATCATCATCATCATTATCATCAACTATGTTGTTGTTGTTAGTCATTCTTCCTTGTTTGGCTTCTTCTTCTAATCTCTGAGTAAGCATTTTCAATTAACAGCATTAAATAAAAAAATACCTTCTTCATGCAACCAAAAGTTATATAATAATTATAATAAGTTTCAATGTGCATAAAAAAGTGATCGGAAGTTGTAAAGAAAAATAATGCAACAATGCAATAACTCAACCTTTTTGGCTGCCTCTATGCTTTCTCTAATGGATTCATCAGCTTCTAGTGACTTGCGAAGTGTCTGGTGCATAACAAGGAAGTAAAACAAAAAACAAGGTCACTAATCTGCACTGCTCACATTCCATTCTGAGTGTAGGGAACTAAACCATGTTGTTTTCAGTGCAATTTTTGTGTTGTTTGTGTACGAGCCTAAATAAATATATAAAGTTAAATTGTAATTGTGTAATCCCCTTTGATAAGCCTAAGTGCTTTTGGAGAAAACACTGACAACTATGTTTAAATAACAATAGATAAAAATATATCTTTTAAAAAAACTAAACCAAGCCAAATCCATGAAACTGGTTTTTATTATTAACAAGTCAATACCACTTGTAAACACATTCATTTGTCATTACTAAGAATGCTAAAACAAGGTTACTGAGGTGCACTTCTTATGGCACTATAACTTAATACTGTACATAAAAATTAAGTTTATGGGTGAGTGGGAGGGAGGGATAAAGATCTGTACATATAGATGACCTTTATAAATTAAAAAGGCACAGCAGCCTAACAATTTAAGGAAGCTAAACACAATTTCTGCACATGCTTTTGCTAATGTGATTCAGTACAAGGATTACAAAAAAATAAACATGCATTCAAACATAATACAGCATTCAAACAACAGCAGTACATTGGAAAATGTTATACGTGTACATGTAGCAATGTCAAACCTCAGACGAATATACAGTATACCTCAACATCATTAAAACTAAGGGTAAGCTCATCCACTTCATCATCATTGTCATCATCATTATCAAAATCTAACTCATCTCCTTCTTCACTTAAGTCATTGTCAGCAGCATCCTGAACGATTAACAGAAAGCAAAATAAAAACTAGTGAGACAATCTCAGATAGTGTAGAGTGTAATTTACAGCTCTGATACAGTAGTCACATAGGTCCTTACCCATGCCGTTCTCTTCCTTGGTAGTCAACTAGACCTTTTCCCCTTGCAGAATATGAGCAGACAATCTTAATCATTGTATAAGTTTCATGATTGTATTTTCTTTCAAGGCCCAAAAATAACTTACAATTACTGTTTGTCAAGACGGCTTTGAATTTATTGTGATGTTTTACGTTGGGCTTCAGTCATTTTAAATGCAATAATACGCAGAAGTGGCAAATATGACAATTTTATTTTTCACTCCAACGTATGTAACTTGATACTTTTGTTTACTTCACCGAGCTATGCAACATGATACCCTTGTTTCTTCAAAACTATAAGAAAGATGTGTATTTTTTACTTACTGCTGGAGATAAATGGAATAAAGCTAAATATCTCATGAAAAATCGAAGAGGAATGATTTTGTTTTACTCCAAATGCAAATTTTCATTTCACAGAAAAACAAGAACTAATCAAATTATCAAATAGTCAAGTCCAGTCATGGAATAGTTTGTTCTTATTAACATCAAACTAAAATACAATGCTATCGATTAATACAACGAGCAGTATTGAAGGTAGAAATCGAAATTATATCCTACATCGGTGAGAGAGTCACCTCAAAGACTGATGAAATTAATTGGCGGTTTCATTAAGTGCCAGAGAGTCTGTGGCAATATTTGCGAAATTTTCTTGTGTCGCAAATTTATTATTGTAACTAATGCGGGAAAGTTTCGGCTGAATATAAACTTTTTGCTCCCTTCATAGAAGAGGAAATAGGAAAGCCAATACACAGAAGCATTCTTTATTTGAACCCTGGCAAACACACAATACGAAAAACAGCAGACAGAATTTCTTGAATCGAGCTAGGGGTGATTCCAGATGATATGCAGTCACAGTAGCGTTATTTGCACTAGAAAAGGGAGAACTGACGTTACCTGAAATACAGCTGCTGTCCCCGGTCAAAATAGTCCAGTTCTGGCCCTCTCTCTGTCAAGCAACGCTACAGTAGCATTGCGTGACAGAGAGAGGGCCAGAACTGGACATTGAAGGCTAAGTTATCTGCGCATGCGTTTCAAGCAAATTGATTTTGTTCTTAAGAGAATAGCACCACTAGGATAGCAAGAGATTTGCAAAAACATATATAGGTTTGTGATGTTCTTCTAGAAGTAATGTAAGTATGATACGTTTTACGTAGTAAACAGAGATACCTAAACCACCACCTTACCACATGCTAATTAATTAATTGAAATTAATTAATTGAAATTAATTAAACAAACATTAAAGTTTACACCTTATTGTGTTAGTGACTTAGTGAACAGCAGCCCCCTAAACCATCCCAATAGTGCACTATGCACTAATTAATCAAAATTAATGAAAAGTAGGATGATGCATGTCTAAGGCCCTCTTTAAATGACCCCAAGTTGCTTTTTACCCCGGGTTGCATCACCACAGCGGGTGACCCTTTTGCAGTGAGATGTTTATAAGCGTTTACATGAAAACAGTAGTCAAGCTGGGTCAGGCCCCCTTGCTGGGTAACCCTTGTCAAGACACTGGTTCACCCGGCAAGAAGGGTTGAAATTTCTTCAATTCTTACATGTAAACAGTGGGCCAAAAGCTAACCCGGGTTGGTACTTACAGTCAAATAACCATGTTGTTTTTTGTTTTTTGTCTTTTTTTTGGTTTGTACATCAGGACCTCCCACCATTCCATTATACTCTCTAGGTTTTTTGTTTGTCACCTTTTCTGGCCCATGTTTTCAGTTTTTGATCGGTAGAAAGGCTGGCATGGGTCAGCATGAAGCAAACCACACGCTATTGCAGACTGACAACCTGGGTTGGTGTAAAGTGTTTGTTTTTAGCACTCTCTGCAGTGATTCAACCTGGGGTAAAAAGCAACCCCGGGTCATGTAAAGAGGGCCTAAACAAGGCAAAATTTTAGTCTTTTGCCATCGCATAAGGCTGAAAGCTCCAATAAATACTAAAGAATTGCCATTTATATTTTTTGGTCCCAATTATCTATCAAGAACTTTAAAGGACTTCTGTCTCAGTGACCTGATCCATTAAAAAAGATCTTCCAGCGTTTGATAATGGTATTTAGAAGAATTCATACCTGGTCTGAGGCACTTTCACTATCATCCACAACAACTGATTCAAAATCCTCACTGTATTTACCAGTAAGCTTCCCTGTGAGAAGGGAAAAAATGAATGACTTTGCCAGCCCTGGTCAGTGAGTGTTGATTACATGAAATCCATGTTTGTGAGAGTTCTCCCAAGTTCTCATGAGTGCTTCTAAATGAATAACTCAAGATACACTGTAACTTGTTCTACATTAATTGAACTGACTTAAAGAAGACTACACCCTTTCAGCATACACTTCCTTACATTTTCATGAATATATCAATATTCATGAAATGTTTATAACCACAACATCAAGGTAAAGTAGTACAAAAATACCTGGTGCTCTTATTTTCACTCTCTTTCCTTCATCAGTTTTGATTTGTATTGAATCCTATGAGAAAAAACATCCATTACAAGAGTTTATAACATCGAGACTTAACCCGCAAAGACTTCCTAAAAGATTTTCTCAGAAGACCAAAACAAAAACATGTGTTTTCAGAATTGCATATTTCTGCAAACAAGTATGATATCAGTTCGCACTTACATGTAGCCCAATTGACTACCAGTTATTGCTAATTAAAATAATTATGAAATAATTATGCAGACATTGATTGTGTTCTAGATATTGAAAGTCCTCAAAATTGCTTGGTTCTCTCATCAGTGCTTATTCCAAGATGAAACACTGAATGTGAATGTTGCCCTTGAAAGGAAAAATTACTTCACTTTTGGTTGTTTTTCAGACAGTTACCCTTCATAGTACCCCAGCTGACAACAGCAATAAAATAATTATAAGTTAATGCAAACTTAAACACTTACGGGTATATGTTAGAATACTTTTAATAATTGGTGTGTTAAAAAGACTGAGACACATACATATTTCCAGCCTTTTCTTGAGGTTGGGGTTGCATCCGGAGCTGTTTTAACTCTGATATCCCTGAAAAAATTGAAACAAGGCACACATTTAAAACATTGCAAAATTATTCTACTTGAATGATATAGTAATAGCACAATGCAAATAATAAACATATTGGGTTATGTCAATAACAGATGCCAACAGCACAGTTGAATTCACCTTGCTTCTGCTTCTCTCTCTAAGGCTTGGAGTTCATGTTGTAAGATCTTTTTCCTTTCATGATAGGCATCTAGGTAAAAAAGCAAAACAAATATCTGAACGTGCTATCTTCAATGGAAGTCAAAGAAAATATTCTTCATCTAGTTTAGACCACTCCCTCTTGGACAGCTTCAGTTATTCTCCCTACGTATATATATATTCAGGTCAGTTAATTCGAGCTAAGGGACACCTTAAAGAGTGCAAGTTACAGGGCTCAAATAAAAAAATTGAACTCCAGCTTTCCCTTTGGACAAGCAGCTCTCAAATTTTGCTTCCCCTGGGCAGTCCTAGATTATTATTATTTTTTTTTTAATTTAGTTGGGAAATGACTTGCCTGGGCTCTTGCCCATTCAACAAGTAAGAATGAAAAGTTACTTGTCCATCAGGAAATCTACTTGTCCTGGATGGCACTCTTTTTCAAGCCCTGAAGTTAGTGTCTATAAAGAAGCAGTCTGACAGCAGCAATGGCTAGAGATTGCTTTTCTCGGTTTATCTTTCATATATTTACCTGAGACTTCACATAACTAAAATGATATTGTGTATAATGTGAGAAAATCTCACCTCCAGCAGTTTTAGTATGTCTTGATGAACTGCGGGATTTCGCTCTCGAATATGCTCGTCCCAGCTCTACATTAGCACCATTGACATATATCGAGAAGCCCTGTTCCTTTTTCTCCAACTCGATCTGTTGCTCGTTCTTCTTCTTTAGCTTCTTCAGCAACCTGTAAGGCAATTAAGACATGGTCAGGTCGCTACAGTACCTGAACTCTTTAACTCATCAGATTGATAGAGGAGAGTTACTGTGAGACTAAAAAGACTATGGCCCTTGATATAGGTGTTTTGTCAGCAGCTTATACATAAATTTTGATGGCCCAGCTCCTCCATGGGCCTTCGTGTGTAACTTATGTAAACCACTTATTAATCAAAGGCTCTTTAAGCGAACTTGTGAAATTTGAAATGTACGTGTTTATTTACATATGACAAGTGCAGTCAAAAATGTTTTGACCACAATAAATTAACTTGAATGCTACTGTCAAAAATATTACCTATTTCTTTGCTGCAGCAAAAGAAGGTATTCTTCATATTCAGGACGAACTTCTTCTTTTGCAGAGGGAACCTGTTTCAATATTTTAAAATGTATAAAAACATATAATAAATAAATGCAATTCACTATTCAATAACTAAAAAGCCTTAACAACAAACCATAAAAAAATTCATCTACTGATCATGACCACTTCCATGCCTTGGAGGTCCCTATAAGTCAAGCTTTATGTTCCAGCCTGATCATGTAGTACTGTAGAGAGCCACACAGTGTCTCTCTGATTGGTTGTTAGCAAGTAAAATAGATATTAAAATAATTGGATATTATCATATTTAAGAGGCACCCTCTGTAAATATCAAACTTTCTCAGATAAATGGTTTAGATAAGTGATTCACAAAAATATAACTTTCAGTTCAATTCCATTCTAATTTAGCACTGGGGCCACCATCTTGGTTTTGCCCCTCTGAGAGGGCTTTCAGCGGCCATTTTAGGACACATTTTTAACAATTTTCCATACAAAGAAAATTGATATACACCGTAAATCTGGATAAAAACCCTTTATTCAAGACAAGCAAATGTTTGTTGTTACATTGAGGGGCTGTTTGGGCAATTTGATCATCATCTGATTTTTTACAGAATTTTAAATTTCTTCCCTTTCAGACTACTCATGAAGTGCCATAAAAAAGGCGAAATCGGTCTCGGTTCATAAACACGCAAAAAAAGAACTTGGCCGATATCCAGCCATCTTGACCTGACACTTGGTCAATAACCCATACATGGCTCACAAGGACTGGAAACTACCAAATTCACGAATTTGATTGGCTGAAATCGATATTGACCGTGGTCTAGATTTTCCCATCTAGACCGGCATCTAGACCGGTTTCATTTTGCG